TTACTTATTTGATAGTCCAAATAACTTTTATTAGGGCTAAATTAAAATACTTTCCCGATTAACACTTTTTACTAATATTACTTACCATAATCAAGCTACCAAATTACTGCTGCATTAGTATTAGTACATATTGACCAGTGACCTTATCTGGGAAAGTATTTTCAGTGTTTTCTCTCATTCTAACCAGATAAGTATGTTTCTGCTCACTCAATCTCACCAAAAAGTAAAGAAGACTTGTATACCAAAACTTTGTCCAGTTTATCCCTAGCTACAACCACCCAGTTTAATAAAATAAAAATCCTATTTATCCACAGAATGTCTTTGTTCTGTGGCCTCAAATACAGTACTTAAGCTTCTTTAAGGGTAGTTTACTTATGAACAACAGAAGGATAATGTTTAGCTCACAAGGTTATTGTAAAAGCTTAGCTACTGTAAAAAGCTTTAAATGCTGAATCTCACAAGGTACTCAGTTCCTGAGAGAAACTGAACTACACATTCCTTCAGAAATGAATTTTATTTTATTTACAGGGTTTTTTTCAGTTGTTGGATTAAAGCACACTATTTTTACCATGGTGAAACAAAATGTAAGAGGAAACCCTAGACATCCAATAAAAAAGCACAAATATTTCATTTCTGTATGGTTTTAAAACTATAAACTAGATTATACAATTTAAGGCACTTCATTTATTTTGGGATTATAAAAACAAATTGAAAGAAGATATATCAAGTATTATACAAAATAGTGAATTTTATTTTACATTCAATGAAGAACACAATCAGTGTGATGAAAGTATAGTATTCAATTAAATTAAACTTTGCTGTCTTTTCCCTGTAACAGAAAATATAGTCCACCAGGAAAACACAGCACAAGTAATATCAATAAAGTTGATGTTCCCCACCAAAAGACTTAAAATCACCAATCTAAGTTATTTTTTCAGAAGGGGCAGCATGAAGATCGTCACCAATGGTTCTCATTTAGTAAAGCTCTATTAATAGCATTCTGGAAGGGACCATATTCATTTGTATTTCTTATATGGATTCTTGACTTGTTAATATATTGATGGAAATACAGTTAACTTGCCTTATAGTAAGAACTCCTTTATTTCTCTTACCACCATTGGTATCCATGAGATGAGGGTAATGAAACCCAGAGACTATGTACTGTACTTATAATATGCTTTGAGATCCTCAGAAGATACTAACTATAGCAGTACATACTCATATTATTTAATAATTTCACTTTTCACTGCATCACAGAATCACAGAACGTTAG